TGCATTGTGCATCCAATACTGGTTGATAGAGCTTTTCAATGGTTACAAAATGCGTGTATTCTCTTCTTCGCATCATCTAACTCAATGAAAGTGGTGGAACAAAACGTTATTTCAGCTTAGAAAGTTGCTCCTTTTCATCTCGTTGAGTATTCTTCATTCCATTTTTCTCCTTAACTTGTTGTAGAGATAAGTTTGATCAAGTCTTGTACAGAATTCGACGGCGCATGTTTTGGAAAAACGATCAGATCCAAGGATTGAAAAGGAAAGCAATTATATACAAAATACAAGAAGGATCAATTATTCTGGGCTAACCAGTACTTTCAAGTCAAAACCATAATTTTACAATAACAAATAAAAATTAACCTGGAGAGACGAAATACTCCGGATTTAAACTTGAGGAGATGTTCCATATCTAAAACTGGGCTTATAGTTCTTTCTTTTCGATTCCGAGCTAGTGAGTGGATGTAAAACATTCTTTTATACTGCAACTTTTAAGTTTAGACCCAAATAAATTAGGCTTAAATTTTTTCATGCGGATTTTTTGCAAAACTGCGTTTGGGGCTTTAAGCACCGCTTGTAATAGTTACGGTTTATTACAGCAGGAAAAAGTTTTCAAAAAAATTACGGGGCAAAAAAGCCCATAAATTTTTTCATAAATTTTCTCAATCTGACTTACAGCATTTATATTGATGCAATAACAACATTTATAGTTTATCTTAATTATGCATTTGGTTCGACAATCATCTTGTTCACATTCAGAGAACTGGAGTATTTGCAATCAACCGATATTTCCAGTATTTACCAAAGAGATTCGGCAGAATAATTGGACCCGCGTTTTGGAACCGCACAAATAGGGATGTTGTCACATATCCAAAACGAGTTACTCTTAATGGTAATACGTTTACTCTGCAATAATCATGGAGAATAAAGACAAAGCATGAACGTTGAAAACATAGAAAGTTTGTGTTTGGTAAGCCATCTTTGATGATATGAATGTTTGCACGAACTAGACTAGTATGCCTTTGCAGTAAATAAATGGTACGATGGATTTAGCACATTGAGTACAAGAAATGACTTCGAGTAGATATGTTTTCCAACAATTGTCGAGCACTGTTAATGAGTCAAATGGTGCCGTTCTTATGTCTCATTAATTTACAACTCAAACTCAAACGCGTCATGTTATTAAAAAGCTTTCAGATTCACATAATCAGCTAATTGAGTAGAACAGGACGTTGAGTAGATTTTATGCAGAAATATTCAGATTATCAGTATTCTCTTATGCTTGTGAAACATAAGAGATGCAACAAGTGTAGTATCTATTCGTCTATGAGATTTTCAGCTTTAGTGATTCCGATATATATTTTGCAAACCTATCTAGTTTTTTAGTTTGAGAGATAAAATTTTTGTTCATATACCATTCGAACCCCCTCGTTGCGCGCTACAAACCTAAAGTTTGTTTTTGAAAAAATTCCTTTCCTGTGTTGAGATACAGAGGCTGCAGTACTAAGTCCCATAATCCTTCAGGTCATTTGACAGTAAAAAATTCGGTGTCGACTTAAAAAATCTAAAAACGATGTAGAATAGGTTAAAATCAATCCCGAATTCGATGGAAATACTTTCAAAATCTCTAGAGGATTTCTGGAGGGTCTCCAAGGGGTCAGGCGAGTGAAACGTACCTGAAACGCTTCCCCATCCGCGTTTTTACAGAATATTAAAGACATGAAACGCGGGTATACCTGCGCTGGCATCTGATTGGACTACGCATGACTCATCAAAAGGCGGAAGCCAAACGCACGCGAATGAAGTCAGCTGATGCCGAATTCGAAGCTGCACGTGCTGTAATATTTTTTGAGAGCTTTTACTTTTTAAGATATACTCAAAGTCAAAATGCCAAAAACTCCACGACGGAAGAAACTGTCACAAAAAGCAGGAAATTTAGAAGGACGACGATTGAATGAAAGTTTTCACTCTGAAAATTTGGAAAGTTCCTCAAGTGAAGATGAAACAGTAATAATTAATCCAGATGACGACACAGATCGCATTGACTTCAAAAGTCCAACAATATTAAATGATTTAACAGACCTGTACACATTTTGTCAAAGTCAGCTAAACACGCGTTTTCTCACTACTTTGCTCTCCACTTCACTTCGTTATTTGGGACACTCATGGAGAGAGACTGATGCATTTCTGAAAGAAATTGATGGAATGACATGTAGAACAGCTCACAAATGGGCAAATATTTTAGTGAACGGTGACTTTGATGAATGCACAAAAGACGAACGAGGTATTTTGTGTGGGAGAGAGAGAGAGAGAGTCAGGCGCGAAAGTCACAAAAAGGCTTTTTTTTGTTTTTTCTCCATATTACAGGTGGAAAGCGAGGAGATTCATTTTGGGATTGCTATCCGGACCTGGAACTCGAAGCTAAGCAATTTACTTTGGAAGAATGTTCAAAAAAAGAGGCATCGTTTATGGCAGGTGAGATAAATTTTGCATATACGTCCGTTTTGGTGTCCATAAAAGTCCCAAAACGCGCATTACAATTTCGTAAAATTGACTAAGTTTTCTTTGTTCTATGAAATTAACAAACTGAAAAAAATTGACACACAATTCGTTCGATCAGTGCTGCAGATTAGACCATAGACGCTTCTGCGCAAAGTATACAGGAAATGCAGGGCGACCGTAATTTCTGGGTCACGAGAGAGATGATGTGGTGAAACATAGAGAGGAATTAGTGAAATATTTTATTGACCACAAAAATAATTTTTATTCATTAACAAATGACCCAGTGCCTCAGTGGATTGAACCAAAAGCACCGAAAATGATTTTGCTTTGTAAGAGTGATTTTTTCTTCAAAATTACAGACAACTTGAACGCGTTTTTTTTTCCTTTGGTGCTACAGACCATGATGAATCGACTTATAAAAGCGGTGAAATTTCAGCAAAACGTTGGATTATGAAGGACAACGCGCCTTTTTATAATAAAGGACGTGGCAGAAGTATCATGTCATCGGATTTTCTCGTCATGCACAAAAGCGGTCCATTTTTTCGGCAACTAAAGCATTCAATTCTGGAAGTTTGACTTTGTTTGGAACAAAAATATTCAAATCGTATGCCATCTGCAATAATCCTTTGCTGATACCGTCGTTGTCATAACACTGAAGGGTCTGTTTTTGATTGTTCTCGTCAAAAAACTCAATTTTTTCAACAGGGCATCTTGTGCTTGGCTTCATCCCAAATTCATTTACACTGAACTCAGCGGCAGTGTGAGTGCGCGCGTTGTCTACTAGACAAACACAAACGTGATTTTTGTATTCTT